CCTGCTCACATCCAATATCTTTCAATTCAGCTTGCTTACATCAGCTTGCTTACATCCATTGTCATTCAATTCGTCCTGCTCACATCCAATATCTTTCAATTCGGCTTGCTTACATCCAATGTCTTTTAATTCAGCCTGATTACATCCAATATCTTTCAATTCGGAAATTCTCATAATAAAATCATTACTTTGTTTTATTTCAGACATTAAGCTATTATTATAATTATTATTATTAGAAGTTAGAGATGGCAAAGAAGAGCTGCTCTTACTCATCAAAGAACAATTAGAAGAGTAAACGTTTTGTTTTGTTATTGGAGTATTACAACCAATTTCTAATTTTTGAACTTCTAATTCAGAGTCGTCACTAATGCAGATATTTTCAGAGTAGTTAGAGTTTAAGGAAAGTTCGTTTGCAGAATTATATGACAGATTTGTAATTGAATCATTAAGAACACTTGAGATATAGGAACTTGACACTTGATCATCTTCTAAAAATACAATATTACTTGGTTCCCTTGGTATGAAAATATTTTTCTAAAAAAACGAAAACAATTAAATATAATTCGTAAATTAAAATAAAGATTTGAACTTACCAAATGTTTTAATTTTAATGGATTGAAAATTGAATTTTGATAGTTTTTGTACTGCGGAATGTCTAAACAAAGCATGTATTTTTTTAATGTTGTGTTTAATTAATAATTTATAAGAATATAAATATTATTTAATTACCCTCAAAAATTTTTTTGGTGTGGACATTTTTCAATAACTTTTTTAATGGTATATTTAAATTATTAACTTTTAAGTTCACGGATAATACACCTGAATAAATATTATTTTCAAAAGATTGAGGAATAAAACGGAAACTCAATTCACCATACTGATTTTTTTTTAACAATATTGTAATTGCAGCTTTTAAATCGTCATCATTTAAACAAATATCTACTTTAATATAGTAGGTTGGAACTATAAGCTGCAAAAATTTGGATGGACATGTTCTCAACTGAATCATGTGTCCTTTGTCTGTATGTCTCTAAATATCAATTTAAAATATACAAAATTAATTAACAACAATTACTTAATTATTTAATGAACAATATATACAATACCTGAGAATCGATTAAATAAATTTCAGGGTATAATTTATCATTATGAAATTCGGATATAATACCGCGTGCCCATGGTTTTTTATCAACTTGAACAATAACTGCCTGTAAATAAAAAAAAAAATGTGTATTTAAATAATAGTAATTTGTTCGAATATTTAAATTTTTATATTGTTAAAACATTAAATAATAATATTGTAATTTAATTTAACAATTAAAGTTACTCCCCACAAAATAGTGGACAAATTTTCAGTGATTAAATGTTTACTATTCAGACATTACACAATAATAATATATCTATAAGTAGTAAGTATTAAGTAATTACTAACCTGTCCCGTTTCAATAATAGGATAGTCAAAATTTTCAAACCACTCACTACAGTCGTTAAATTTTAAAAGTTGTTTAAAATAGTTTTGAAAATATTTTGTTGAATGACTATTAAATTTTTCAACAACAATAAATATTCCTAGGTCTTTGTCAATTTGACTAATTATATTTATATCATACGTAGTGTTCAACTCCATTTCAGTGAATACAATTATTCAATTATTCTCAAAAATATAGAAACTGCAGTCCAAGATGACAAGACACACGTATACTTTTGAAATCTAGAACTGTGAACTTGATAGGCGATAGCAGTCTCCCAGTTTCTACTTTCTGTACTTCTGAAATTATTATTGTTTCTAGAAATTTAGCTTGAAGATAAAATAGGCAATTACAATTTTTATTTGATCACTTAGTTCACTAATCGTTTTGGTGCATAAATAAAAGAAATATGGTTAACGTTAAAATGTAGTATAAGACAAGTACATGGATATAGCTGGTAGTGGTAGTTTTCCCGATTTTGATAAGGACGAGATATCACAAAAATCAAATTTCGTGAAATCAGTAATGCCAATCATAACACAATAATAAATTTTCCCCACATTAAAATAATAATAAAAAAATCTACAGTATTTTCCAAAACCAAGTCGCATATTACAAAGTTGCTGAAAATTGAGATGAGTTTTTTTTTTTTTTTTTTGAGATTAATTCATTGAAATTTTGATTCTTTTTACTACTAACTACCATGGAGTGATGTTCACAGCTGTGAGCTACTGTAAAATATTAAATAATAGCAGTGCATTCTAGGCGGATTGTGGTGCGGAACAAGTTGACCCATGGAGACCATACGCTACCGTTAGAGCGCGGTTTTGAGCAAAAAACAGATTGTACTCTACCCTGTCATCACCGGGACCGATTTGTTATATATATATAACCGGACCGATGTATATTGAACGTGAGGACGCTCGCGATAGTTGACGTCAGCCCAGCCGTACGGCGACCTGCTTCGGCAGTGGATATATCGATTCGAAAATCGAGCTATTTAACAGAAAGTTAGTACATTGTACACAAACCCCCTACATCATTGCTCCAATGTGTGATCGGTTTAACACCCGGTCGACACAGGTAGCAGTTTAGACGTTCTTCGACTAATTGCATCCATACCCGTCCTCACCAAATTTTTGACCTTGTTGTCTGGGAATTTTTTTTTTTCCATTACCCAGTTATTTTCAATTGCCGATTTTAGTACTAAACAGTAATAAATTTATACTGCTAATATTGTATCGTTCAGAATGCATAATTTGTCCTCGATGCGGTCTGTTTAATTTGCAATAATACGGGTTTTTCCGTATTTAGTAAATGATCGTTAGGGAAACGCTTATTATCGAACATACAATAGTACAGCTCACATCACATCTTACATATTTATTATGTAAATAATTTAACAATGAATTTTTTTATGTTGATTTCAATTCCCCATTTACTTGAGAACCAACAAGTTACAAAATACAATTTTTTGTTAACAAGTTTAATATATTATTTTATACTTCAATAATATCAAACAAAGAATGATGTGTTAAACTTAATTATTACATTCATTATTTCGAATAATTAAAAACATTTTTTATCAATTTAGTTATTTGGTTAATAAAAATAAATTTTGGGCAACTATTTGACATTGTTAACATCTATGAATATATTAAATATATATATTCATAATCATATTATTTTATTGGAAGCAATGATAATAATAATAAATATTCGTTTAGTACCTAATTTATTAATATTATCAATATATTTTAACATATCTGCATTAGAAACCTAAACTAGAATCATGTAGCTACATGATATTAATTAATTTGTAAAGGCAGTATTTAACTACTATTTTCAAATTTAAATACAAACGCTTTTGCAAAGAAATATTTAAAAATTATTTTTCCATTTCATACAAACGAATATCTACCCTACGATGGCGTCGTTATAGTGGGTTGTGAATACCTATTGTGTTAAAACATTTCAGGGAGTGTACCCTCCCACAATGTAGTAACCAACAATGCAAAACCCAAGGTAATAGAACAAAATAAGAATTCCATAAATAATAGTACACAACCAAAATAAGCCGTCAAAAGTTTTTTATACTCAAATATAACAATTGTTATGCCCTACAAATGTGAATTTTACTTAGCAGCTGCCGAAGAGATTTATTCATGGGGTTTAGGAATGAGATTTTAACAAAAAGTAAGAAATAGTAATAATAATAATAATAATTCTTTGTGGAATAATCGATGCACGTAGAAAATTCGTGAAGGATCGAGAACAATGGAAATAACTTTGTTCATAAGATTTACCGAAAATTAAAAACATAATATGATGGATATAAAAACTAATATGAAAAACTTATAATCTTCAAATAAAGAGTGATTTTCTATCAAGTTATCAGTTCTTTCATAGACTTTATAATAATGAGTTTTTAAGAAAGTTATGACAATGATAAATATAAATATTTAAAAATGCTCAAACTCACTTAAAAATTAAAACATCGTAAACACCCAACAAGAAAACACGGATAATTATAAGTTTGATAATAGAACGATTCACTTTAATATCAAAATTAAAAACACACTATTAAAACTAGTGAACGAAAATTTACTAAGTAATACGTGTGTAAAACGGACACAACACATGTGGGTGCGACGTCCTCTTAAGTCTTAATAAGCACCGAATAGTTTTAACGTTTTATTAGTGTTAATAGTTATTCTATCCATGCAATTTACTTTATCTCTATGTCTGGCTATAGGCGATCATAATCAGCATTCAAAATAGACCTGAAACGATGTTGTGTGGTACGTTTAAATAACGCGTATTATAATATTATATTCACGAACTTTTTTATTTAGAACTTGGATAGATGTCTGTTATCAAAAATATTATTGCCGTTATATACGTACAATTATTAATTAAGATAGGTTTCACTGTATAATAATAATTCACATAACATAGATATCAATTTATATGAGAATAAAATTCACAAAAACCAAAGATGAAAATAACAATTAATATGAGTATGTGTATACGTCCGGTAGTCGATAATAAAATATATAAGCAGTTGATCCATATTAGTAGGTATATCAGAATAATATAATTATGCTTGCGGTGGCGCAATAGAGTACCTACAGAAGAAAATAAAATACATTGATAATTCAACATGGCCTAAATAATTATTTCAAAGACGGAGAACCGGTTAGAATGCATTCAAATACCAAAAATTATTTTCTATTTAACAATAACGATAAAAATATATAATATTTACTCCTGTCATACGGAATCTCTTTCGATTCAGTCGTCCCCGTCAATATGTCGCCGCTTAAGTACTTTTAACTTACATTTACCATGTACTTAAGTATTTATTTAGACACAGACAATTCAAAGAAACTAACAGTAGGTAGGTAGGTACATGAAAAAACCATTAGAATGGACGTGTTGTTTTTATAAGGAATCTTAAACTTTTTACAATGGTATTTGTAGATTAACTCCTATAACAAATGTAAAGGTAATTTCAATAAAAACATTCCGATCCGTAGTGGTTTTATGTTTTTATAACTTCCATAAAAAAAAAATAAAAAAATATTTATACTTAAAATCAATAATACATAGTGTACAGTCTATTACGCCGTGAAGGATTTTTATTTCATATTTATAAAAATGTATTAAACAATCATGGCTATGTCGCTGTTCATATAATTCAATTTTATATTGACGTATATCGTATAGAATAAAATATATATTTTTCCAATAATCCACCACGATTATTTTATTAATAACATCCAAATGATAAATACGAAGAATTTCTGGTTTTCCTTGTATGCACCGCGGCTACACCTAAGAGGTGTTCACTTGTACTTTTTATTATATTGACATTGTCCCGCTATCGAATGACTGTTCCTAGTGGCCTTGTATTATGATAAATGTAATAGTATTATAGTTACAATACTTTCAAATAAAAGTAAATTATAATAATTTTTATATAGTTTAAATTTATTAATACCACTTATTTATTATAGAAAATAATCAATAGTTCATTATTACTCATGAAGTCATGAATAAAACAACAACAAAAAAGACGATTTTCGTAAGTTCATTAAATAGTTATTGCCCATCTTATTTGTTTCGCTGGCATGGTACACTTTCTGTTAAGATTTAATTAATCATTAAAATATAATGATTTATAATTATTATTTATTATAATAGGATACTCTCTTAGAAGCAATTGAGAAAAAATAAACAATTCATAAAGCTTTGTATTTACTAAATTAATAGTTTATTATTAAATATACCGTTTTAATAACTCGATAATATACTTTCCAAGTATAATATATACATGTATATGTGTGTGTGTGTGTAAATATAATTTCATATAAGTCTAAACATAAAATAAATAAATAAATAACCGATTAGTAATTTACTTGGATATTTCGTATGTGAACCTATATGTTAATGTTTCTTTAAAACGTCTAGAAGAAAATTATTATAAATGTATGGATGAATGGGCCATATTTATGTGGCGCCAGACTGGCGGTCTCAATGCGCCGAAGGTTATCATGATGCTTTGTAATACTGTAGGTAATGCGTTTTTAATATAAATATCGGCACCGGCGTATAATTTAATCGTTTATCTTTTCGGCGCCAGTACTTATGAGCAAGATTTTGAACCTGACCCTCCGTGTGTGTATATTTCTTAGTCTTAAAAAATGACTATACCTGCATCTATGATCATTAATTACGGTTGTTACGAACATTCCATGGGTGTTTATAACTATGCTAGATTTGAGTTATAATTGTTGGAAGACGACTTTAGTTAGTAATTTTAATAATAATTTCAGTATATTTAAAACTAATATATATGTAAAACGATCTAATAAATATATTATATTTATGTTGGCTGTTGCGTCATGTCATATCTGATCATTGCATTGTGATTTATGATCACTCTGCAAGTGTTTTATACATACAATTTAACATAGTTAAAACAAGACTATAGTCTTACCAATATTGTTATCAGCCATATCAATCAATAATGGAAAAATTTATTTTACACATATTCATGAAATAATTAAGGAAAAAAAACTTAAATAATCTAAAGATATTAGTTAACCAGATTTAGATATAGTACTCATAGGCGTAACTAGACCTTAAAGTTGGGGGGTTTCAGCCCTAGAATTTTTATTATAAGTAAATTAGTGGGAGGCTCTGCCCCCCCATGACCCCCAAACACCTTACATTCATTGATTATACCTGTAATATGAATGTAAATTAATATTTAATTATAAAACAAATTATAAACCAAGTGGTATTGAGGTTAAATATTTATATATTAACATATTATTAAGTATTATTTTAGATATAAAGAATTTAATGATTAGTAGGGAGTATTTGTGTAGTAAAAATTACACAACATGATACGTCTTACACAGGATCATTACATACAATAATATAGTTTAAACTAATATTTTTCCAAGATATTAATAAAAAAAATAAAACGATATTTTAAATTTAAATTTAATAATGTTACTATTATTGGCGGGAGTGTAGGACTAGGAATTATGACAGGGGGGGCTAAACTTTATGTTGGGGGACTTAACCCCCCCAAGTCCCCCCTAGTACGCCTTGATAGTACTATATTATATATAATAATTTTGTTACATAATTTGATTATAACACTTAACTTTATATACCAAGCGTGTTGAAGTCAAATGCATTTAAGTATTTGAATTTTGAAGTGTAAGCTATTTGCTGGGTACCTACACATTTTATCATACACAGCTACATATTCTCTACTAATTTCCAAATCGTATAATAATTGCATTATAATTTCCGAAGATTTTGAATTCGTATGATATTTGTCTTAAAACCTGAGCATAGCATACTGAAATGTATATACTGTAAATCATAAAATATTATATTAGGTGGGTACATTTTTATTTCTGAGTGAATCCTATTCAAAGATTATTTGAACAATATACACTATCCCGAATTCATCAAACGTTTTTGTTGGAAATTTTCATGAATACAATACTTAATATTTTATTTAATAAATATAAAGGTTCGTAGTATAATGCGTTTCCGACAATAGAATCGTATATAATTCATTATATCACCCCGAAAAACGTTTTCAAAAATACATAAATATAACTTATTGTGTAAAACCGAAAACTTAATCGCTCTGAGAAGCTATTCAAAAATGTATACGAATAAAATCCATTAAATTTAGTATACATTAAATACACATTTAAAATGTATGGAATTGCATGCCCATAGTAGAAATGGAAAGTAGGTAGGAACCTTCCTTTCTTGTAAGACTTTTCGTCAGCTGATTGGCCTAATCAATCCCCACTACTAAATCATCTCAATTTATAACGATCATTATTCAAAGAAGTATGTATAACCTGGTGTGCCATACCTCAAACGATCACAGTTTAGTTCACTTTCAGTCTTAGCACAACCATCGACTTTTCTGCTCTTCTATCAAATACACCGAACTAACATCATCAATAATAGCGTTCACGGAACTCTTCTCTTCACAAGTATAACCTATATATGTTAATTATTATCAACATATTACTTAATGTTAAGTTTTTTTTAACATTATACAAAAATAAATCTAGTATTCTTAGATGGGTTAGTTAGGTATATCAATAGGGGTAATGTACATTTTTGAAAAAAAATGTTAAGAATATTAAAAGGATTATTTAGATTGTATTTATAGCTGATCACATATCATTTATTAATATTTAATAATAAAGATTTCAATAATACATTTTTCAATAAAAAATCTAAAAGTAGACATTTAAATCAAATGTTAATATAACATGTTTTAAGCATTTTTTGTACAATACACGATCTAGACCTGCGTTAGATATTTGCTTTTATTCGATATTGGTTCAAATTTTGGTTTAATCCTCCTTTAAAATTTGTTATTATTTAATACAAAATTAATAAATGGTCTATTTTTTAATCTAGTTGACTAAAAGATTCAGAGATATCAAAAATGACATTTTGAATTTGATAAATTTTACGTCACTTTTTTTTTGTATCTTATTAGTTTATTTCGTTATTAATAAATTTAAAAAAAATTAAACGTTATAATGTTTTGTTTGTTTCAGATAAAAATGAAGTTATACATTATCGCTATTCTCATGGTTGAAATTGTTGTGGGGACATCTGTATTCAACAACGAATATTATATGAATAAAATTGAACAATTTTGCGGTCAACGTTTAATCAATGAGCTGAACATTCTGTGCATGAGTAGATACACCGAAACCACAGGTGAATATAATCTCTCTATAGAATATAATTATAAATTTCTATGATGATAATATGAACTATAGGATAACTAGAATCTTGAAAATTCACAAACAATATTATGTATTAAGTTTAAAAATTTAAATTCTTTAAATAAAGAATCGTAATTTATGGATTATAAGGCAATCTATAATGTATTATATTATTTACATAGGTTTATTAAATAACTAAATATATTGTGATTTATGATTTACCTGCATTTTCAGCTAGTAAAAGTCAAAGGCCAGAAAAGAGAATCGTCGATGTGTGTTGCAGTAAACCATGTTCAAGAAATTACATGAAAACAAATTTCTGTCTTCCCGAAACCGAAGAGTAAGTAATTTGTAACTAAACTTAATATTATAGTGATCGTATAATAAATGATTATCATTAGATATTTATAATTTGGAACTTAAATCAATTATTTAATAAAACTAACATATAATTTGAAATTACCTTAATTATTAAAAAAAAATTATTTAAAAAAAAAAATCGTTAAATATTTTTGAAAATTTGAATTTATAATTAGAATAATAACTCACGAATGTTAATGAGTTAACTTTATAAGACTTATAAGTAGTAAAATTTTTAATAATAAAATCTTAACGATTATAAAATAATCAAATAAGAGTTTAATGCTTTTCAAATTATTAATTTGATTTTTTTCAGCAATTAATATATTTATTTTTTATAAATTGCAGATCGATAATAATAGATTCACCAATAGTAAGTCCTATAGAGGAAGTTGATTACATTGGTTATTATTTTGAACTTCGTAAGTATCTACTTAAAATCCGTCATTGTTGGAGCATTCTATTATAATATATATATTAACAGCTTAGTAGTTAATTTTTAATAATATAAATAATCGTATTTTGAAAAAATTTTAAATGTCGACCCTTTATTCTAAATGATATATGTTAATATCAATATCAGTAAATATAACTTAAAAAATAACAACTAAGAATGTATGAATTGAAATTTAACTACCATCTAGTGAAATTGAAATATGTAAGCTGCTGCTTTAGTTGTGTAATCTTTAAAACTTCATGTTATTTATGTAATTTGTTTTCAAATAATTTAAATTAAAGTTCTAGCAATGAATACACCTTGACCTTTATCTAATTTCACAAAGTTGAAAGTCTTCAATAATTTTTATCATTGTTTACAGTTGGACGTGTATTAGAACCGAACAACAAGGATTAACCAACTAGTATACCTATTTATCGTCTACACCAAATTATAAATGAATATTTTAAATTGTTTTAACATTATGTAACTGTAGTATCAATGATTTAATGTATTTATATTTTTTAATAACAATAATATAATAATTTTAATTATACAATAATATATTCCATTAAAACATTTCTATTGAGTTATTTTTTAATTAATTATTTTATACTGCTGGTTATACATTATTATGAAATAATATTGTTTAATGTGTATTAAGGTAAGAATTTAAATTACTAAAGTTATATATATATATTATTATAGAGCATTGCATAAAGACTATAAAATGATTTCTACAATAATATATTCGTATACAAGTATATTTTCTTCAGCAGGAAAAAAAGTTAAATCCAAAATATTGGTTAGTTATGTGCATAACAATTATCTGTATTATTTATTTACTTAAAATATTTAATAATGTTCACAATATTATATTATATTCATTGATGTTTTATTACATTCAAGTATTTATATAACTGCATAAAAGTAAAGTATGAGTACTGTAAGTATTTTAAAGCAAATTTGTTCCCATCCATGACACAATTACTTAAAGTTTTATTCATTAAAACTCAAATATCTGATGGCAGTATAATTTCATATGGGAAATAAATGAAAATTGAAATAGAAGGAAATAAATAAATAATGTTTAAAAAATTTTAATTATTTAATAACAGTGTTTATGGTTTATACAAATTGTATTACGAATAATTATAAAACTAACTGCAGAAATGAACGATTATTAGTTTCTAAAATATTTTGTCGATTCTGAGATGAAGTAAAAGGGTATTTTTAAATTGAAACTTAAAATATTAAACATTATTTGATATTTTTGATATTTGCATAATAACTACTATAGACTATGATTTATGCTATAACAATAAATAAAGATTACCTTATGGTAATTTAGTTAGTGGGTAGCAGATGGCGAAGAAAATTATTTAATACCATTTAAATAAGGTTATATAATTGTTTTATTTGTTTTAATGAATAAAATACATAATGTGTATATATGAAGTGCGCTGAACTTGTTGTACAAGCGCTGAAATTTCATATAGAACCTGTTAACCACAGTTAATTTCCAATGTTTTAGAATTATTCTAAAACATTAAAAATTAACTTATTACATGTTTCATCTAATAGCAAATTATTTATCGATACAAAATATTCAATAACATTCTCTAACTTATTGAAATAAGAATGAATTTCATTGAGTATATTTAAAAATATTAAACCACTTCATTTCCATGATTACAAATGACATAACTATTAACACTATTTCAAAAAAATTGCTGATTACATACAATCTATAGATGCATAGCAATACGTTTATTGTATTCACTTTTACTATAAAAGGTTACCACCTATCCAAAATTGTATTATATTTTATTTTTAACTAACGTGTAAGGGACTTTGCTGATAAATAAAATTTTACAAATAAGATGCCTTTATAAAGAGTAGAACTCACAATGTGACCTTAAATTATTAAGACATTTTTACATTAAGCTGCTATCATCAAATGCATTTTAAATACAGATAATTTTACATTTAAACAAATACTAGTTTTATCTTTTTTGTTACCTACTTATTAAGTGGGTTTTTTTTACACTTTTATGATGGTAAACGTTTTATTATTTTGAAGGTGTACAATGTACATATCCAATGAATTAAACAACATCATATATTATTTATCCAGACAAAATATTTCTTTAATAATATGATTAAATTTTCAGCTTGGTGCATAGTTAAGTAATTATTATTTATTTTTTATAGTTATATTTAAAAACACTGCATTTGATTCTACGTGTACTGTAAAAAAATATTCTTAAAAACTAAACTATTTTTAAAATCATTTTGGATTCCTAATATATTGCCAACTACTACATAAAATGTTTTCACTGTACCAATGTCTATAGATTCATCTGTTAGAATACTAAGTTTAATTTTCTTCAGTTGCTCAGCTAGATTCTTCAAATAATGAACTGATTACATATGTAATAATTGCTGTTGTTTTAGTTATTTTGAGATTAATTTCTTGGGCAATTTTTAAATCTGGAAATATTTCTTTGAGCCGGTCGGATAAATAACCTATTGCCATAAATAAAACATTCTGTTTTGGTATGAATGAAGAAAGTTATTTGTCAGTCTGAGGAATAACAATATTCAAATTTGATGGTTCCTTTTTGAAGATTGTCGTTATTGGTTTATTTGTCTGCTAACAATTTTGTAAACCTTTATATCTTTACCATACAGTTAAATGTCTGTTAATTTGATAACCATTATAACAATTTATGTATTTCACTTAGATTTATAAAAATCTGTTTCTGTTGGAGTCAACTATAATTTTAGTTCTTGGATTTTTGACCACTCTGATCTAAAATTTTGCGCTTTATGTATATAACTTATCGCTACTGGTATAATAATGTGGATTATCTACATTGCTTTCGCTGGTCTGGTGCATAATAAAATATTAATAAAAACTATAGTTAATAAGTAAGTAAAAGTCCATAACATAACAAAGTGTTAATTATCTCAATTATCATAAAAAAACAACATTCAGATTTTGATTTATTATCACTGTGAATTACTAAGTTTAACCAAATGACCATGAAAAACTGATAATAAATCCAAGTTTTAAACTTCCTTGGTGATTAAATCATAGAACAAGGGATGAACAATGTAGTTTTTATTATCATAAAACAAAATTTTTATCTCCAATATAATTTTATTAACATTTATAGTACACAATTAAAAATCTGTGAAATTAATTATTAATGGTACAAAATATCTGTTGTAATGATTCTTTCATTTTAAATATACAAAGTATAAAATGTATTGATTATTAAGTTTTGACAGTTATATTAATAAGAAATTGTTAAATTGTTTAATTATTGTATTTTAGGTGTACGAGAACAAAGTGTCTGTGTTCAATTATAGTATAAATACTGGAGTTTATGTGCATCTGGCATCACTACTCGGCGTTTATGACGTTCTTTTTTTATATGTTGGTCATACAAGGATTTTGTGAAAAGTGATGTGATATATAGAAGACTTGTTAATGATTGGTACTCAAAGTCATATCAGATAAATTACCAAGCATTTATAGTTATAAAAAATCAAAAGAACATATTATTCGCCTGAATTAGTACTTAGTTTAGTAAGTGTCCTATGAGAATACCAGCCACATTAGAAAAAATATATTGTCGAAAGAGCAACTGTTGCCTGCGTGTTTTTTCAGGAATGATCCAGCAACGATACATGATATACTATGCAAGGCATATTGATGTTCTGTACACCAGTGTCTATAGTGGGACCTGAGACGGTTTACAAGTGTGCCGTCATTAAAGCCACTTATATCACCGATGCGCCACAGTATCGCGCCTGGGAATTATCAAACGTCAACATCATACAAGGTGTTATCATCAAGTTGGAATTCAATTAGTCTCTAATATTAAGTTAATTTTAAGTAGTATTTTTGTACATGTCGGTGTGTGTTTGTACATAAGTGTCATTTCCATTTATCAGATTCAAAAAATGTAACCATGCAAAATTATGATTATCAGTCTTACAAGCTGATTCTTTTGAGTTAGTGTCAGTGTGACTCAGCTGTTTAATCATTTCTCATTTCTTATGTAACTTTTCTTACATAGCGCACAAATCATTATATTGCTTAATTTAGATAATCGTTGAATTTTTCTCCATCGGTTTTCGCTGAATTGCCACCGGTCTATTTATACATTATCACTGGATAAAACACCAATGTTTTTTTTATTATTATTATTTGATTATCTTTCAAAAACTTAACTCATATTGCATTAAGGTTGGTAGATCAGGAGTCAGGCTCATAGAATAATTCAGATATCAATGGTACACACACTGATGTTTAAATTTTAGATGTCCATAAGCTGTATCTAGTATTTATTGTAGTGAATGCACATCATTTAAGTAATAGGTAGATGGATATATGTACTTTTGAACACACACAACCCATGTATGTATTAAGAGGTATCCGATAAACGCAATAAGATGTATCCCAAAAACTAGGAAATAATCATACCACTAGTTGATGTTTAAAGTAAAAATCATTTTTTTAATACAATAATTTAATATTTTTAAATAAAACAACTACCAGTACACAAGGAAACTCATATCAAATAAAATACTCCATTTCACTTAAAACAATTTAAAACTTATACCATTAGACTAGCAAAGAATCCTATAGTAAAAAAATTATTTGCATAATACACATTAAATTTAAAAATTACATACATCTAACTTAAAACTTAATTTTATATCATAGTAATAGCAAATATTCATAATTTAAATTTTTGAATGTTTATGAAACTATGAGTTTTGATTTAACTTAAAAACATGTTTTATTATAAATAATAATTTAATTTGAGATTTAACATAAATTAAAAAACCAAATTTGATGTTATAATCATAACAAATAAGTTCAAATCAAAACCAAAAAAAAAATTCAGTATTGAATGTAAACTTATCAAAACATACTCTGTTTCAACTAATAAGTTTATTTGAGATTATTTTTAAACTAAAAACCTATTTTAATACCATAATCATTGCAAATATTTAAAATATTAATTTTTAATTGTTAATAATACAGAAGTTTTGATTTCACAAAGTTCAAACCACTACAATTAGGTTCAGTATATAATATTAACTAAAAAATATATTCTATTATATCAATTGAGTTACTTTGAAATTTTGTTAAAACTAAAACACTTAATCTAACCTATCACCGGTACATACACTCATATTTAGTTTAGATGTCCATAAGCTGTATTTAAAATTAATTGTAGTGAATGCACATCATTTATATAATAGGTAGATGAATAGATGTGCTTTTAAACGCACAACCCATATATGTATTATTAGGTATCCAGCAATTATGATGAGAATTAAACCATCCACTAGAAAATAACCATACTATTAGTTGGTGCTTACTGCTTAACATAAAAGTCATTTTTTTAATACAATAGTTAAATATTTTTAAATTAAATAACAACAACTAATACACAAGGAAACTCATATTAAATAAAATATTTCATTTTACTTAGAACAATTTAAAACTTATACCATTAGATTGGCAAGAACCAATAAGAAAAAATGTCTTTACATAATATACATTAAATTAATATAATCCATTTGATAAATGAAAGAATATTCATATATCATAATCATTATAGAAGCAGATATTCAAAATTCAAATTTTCAGATGTTAATCAAATTTTAGTTTTGAATCACAACATTCTAACTATTCCCATTAGATTCATTGTAAAATTTAAACTTGAAAACATGTTCTATTATATGTACTAAATTAATTTAGAACTTTGTTTAAATTGAAAAATATAATTTTATATCATACTCATACCAAATATTCAAAAAATCAAATTTTCAAATGTTAATCAATCTTAGAGTTTTGATATTTTATTTAAAATACAAAACATAATTTTTGGAGAATTTGGACTATAAAATCTCCATGTTTTCATATGAGCATCTCTACTGTAAGATTCTCATTTTAAAAAATTATATTCAGCAAACTAAGTGATGATGCTACAACTTTCCTCAATGTCTAGGCTTATAACATTTTGTATTAATTCTAATAAGTAACAACAAAATTTAAACTGATAAACTTTAATTGATTGAAGCAATAGACACAGCTCAACAATGACACACACTCGGTAACCCAGCATACACACCTATATAGACCTAACCTAACCTATTGTTATGTAATATTTATTATACAACAATTATTACTTGGCTAATACTCATTACATGGTTTGCCAATAAATAATATACTTTAATCATCTCTTATAATTATTATAACAATAAAGAAAGTGATAACTGATAATGTAATTCCTTACATAAATTGAACAAAATACCAAATATGTAATTATAATTTTTGTAAACAAAAAATAATAACAAAATTATGGAAATAAAAAATATCAAGATACATTATAATTTAATAATAAAAATTGTATGAACAAGTATTATAATATCTGATATATCATTGTATTAATTTATTTTTACAATTTTATTCATAACCGTTATAAAATATGTATACTATTGTTTTAACAATTTTAAATTATTCCAATATATAAGAGTTTTTTTTCTATCACTTTTTAGTAATGCATTGAGTAAATATATTTGCCTTACAATCACTTTTGATGATTTTTAGAAGTAAATTGTTTACTTTTTTCTGAAATTATTATGAATATATTGTCTGTTTCAGGATTACTCAAAACATACAAAAATGTTGAATAAGAAGATAGTAATTTATATCATTTATACAGAAGTGAATAATGTAAAGTCACACTGAAAAAGACTACTTAGTACCTACTATACTAAAACAATTTAAATTTTGATGCTTATAGTAACTTAGCATGAGTTGATAAATATTAACTTACTTTTCCTATGCTCACAAGTATATAAAAATTTAAACTGAATATTTTACTATCATATTAAGTAATAATAAATTATTTTTATGTTTTCATTTACTTTGTAGGTATAGCTTGTAAAAATGTATTCTTTTTTAAATTGTATAACAAGTAGACATTGCAATACATTAGTTATTAAATGAAAGTGAAAGCCTTTACGTTTATGGTGATTGATAATAGAAAAAATGTTTTGTACAAAACAGATTGTTATTACATTATTAAAATACTTACTAAAGTGTTAAAGCACTTCATCATTGAATAGTCTGTCTTATTGAATACAAAAATTGTAACAAAATTAATTTAAATTACTTTTACTGTGGTATATGGGTATTAAAATAAACAAGAAATTTAAATTATTAATGTGTAAAAACATAATCTGTTCAATTCATATTATATTGTTGTAGAAGTATTGATAAAGTATTAGTTGTACATTTCTTCTTAAACATGCACAAAAAATGAGTTAAAATATAATAACAATACATGTAGGCTAAAATTCAAAAATTGATCTATTAGTAAGTGAGTTGGAGGTTTTTATTTTCCCAAGACAAAAATCTTTCAAGGATAAAATATATTTTAAATATTATGTTACAGTTATTTTACAATGGATACTTAAATTTGGTATAATGGTATATGATATATAAGTATCAATAACTATGAATAAAATATTCATCTAAGTATATACTTTTTCAAGTCATGTGTACAAATTACAAGCATTAATTTATGACTAAAAGTGTGTGTGTTATTGATGGGAGTGTAGATAACCTCCAGTGTTGTAACTTCTTTTTTCTGGTAGCCATCACAGTAAAAAAGTTAAAACTCACAAGTCCGTTGACTTTGACTAATGAAAATATTAATATAATTGTATCACTGTTTTCATATTTTGTGTTTTGCTTAACAAAAGGTTAATGTAGATAATACACGCTTCCGAAATCCTTTTTTGCATACACCTTTTTATACAATACGGATGATGTTCACGGTTGTGATCCGTTACAAAAAAATTCGATAATAGCAGTGCATTCTAGGCGGATTGTGGTGCGGAACGAGTTGACCCATGGAGACCATACGCTACCGTTAGAGCGCGGTTTTGAGCAAAAAACAGATTGTACTCTACCCTGTCATCACCGGGACCGATTTGTTATATATATATAACCGGACCGATGTCTATTGAACGTGAGGACGCTCGCGATAGTTGACGTCAGCCCAGCCGTACGGCGACCTGCTTCGGCAGTGTATATCCAAAATGGTGAAAGTAATCATATTCAATGAAATTTAATATTAATTTGCCTTCTTACATCATTGCTCCAATGTGTGATCGGTTTAATACCCGATCGACACAGGCAGCAGTTTAGACGTTCCTTAACTAATTGCATCCATACCCGTCCTCACCAAATTTTTGACCTTGTTGTCGGGAATTTTTTTTTCCACTTCTCAGTTATTTACAGATACATATTGTAGTATTATGTATTAATACTACTGATAATATTTTATAGTTAAAAATGTACCATTTTCCATTAATTCGTTCTGTTTAATTTGCAAGAGTACGATTTTTTCATGTTATTTTATGATAGTTAAAGAGACACTTATTGTCGAAAACATATTAGTACAGCACAAATCGTATCACGCATATTTATTTTGAAAATATTTTAACAATAACTATGAATTTATTTTTTTTTTTTTTTACGATAAATTCGTTGGATGTTAATTTTAGTTTCCCAACATATTACAAAATATAATTTTCTTGTCGTCATGTAGTTGATCATGAAAAAATATTTGTTAATATATTTTTATATTTTGTATACTTATGGCTTTATGAGTTAACTATAAAAAATGTGATATTTTCGCCCTTCACAAACAGTGAATTATCATGTACTTGTTCGACATTTCAATAAAACCATTTTTGCATTATATAATTGTGATTTTTTTCTGCATTGTCAACGTCGCGTTATTTATAAAGTTTAGGAATGTTTAACAAAAAGCAATAGGTAGTTCACACAGGGATTATTGATTCTTGAAGAACATTTGATATTTCGGTGACAATCAAGGCACTAAATGCTAATACTGTTTAAAAAATTCAACAAAAATCGTAAATTACAAAACGTTGAATATAAAAACTAAAATAAAGAACTCTTACAATTTAAATAGTTAGATTATTTTTATTTTTCTATAAAACGAATTCTTCCATGGAATTAGCCAATTTTGGCTATCCAGTTTTTTCCTATAACCTAATTTGATAATATTTGAGCTAATTAAAATTATACTGTCCAGTTATATTAAATCCTTTATAATTTTTTAAAAATAAATAAATAAATAGTTAGCTTTAAAATTCTTTTGACACCAAGTAATTAGTTAAAATTTGATAAAAAGATAAGTATGACTAACAGTACTTAATATCATTCCCAATTTCAAAAATTTATAAAACTACCCCTATTACTATGAAACAATACTTATATTAATAATGATATGTAAATTGTTAACTTTCTTATGCATTACAACATAAATTAATTTTCTGCGAATAACCGTATATTAATAGAATGTATATACACGAATATAATTATATATAATATTTTTAATTATTTATTCTTTGCAAAACCTTGACTGCTGAGAATCGTACCATAACTCAGCGTTTATAATTGAAGATACTAATTTTTCGTTTATCTATGGTAGTGAGATGATGAGACGTAAGTATAGAAAAAGACAAATTATCGCATAGGAATTTAACATTGCATTCCCTAAAACACAAGTTTTAGTTGGTGTTTAAATATCTGAAAATCTTCGAAATAGCATCATCAAATTAATGGTACGTGTCTTTATGTGACTAATCAAAAATTCAAAAAACCGACAACTACTAACCTGGATGTCCAGCTGTGTTCAAATGTAACAAAGACTATATTGAAAATAAGTATTGAGTTTCAGAACCAACTCAGAATTATTTAATCTGTTTCAGTACCTAAGTCCACTTCATAAATATTATAAAAAAATGTAATTTATAATACTTTATGCTTATAACTAATAAATTAATTTAAAATCAACTTCGTAAGAAAATGAAATAACCATATCATTATCAACTATCATATTATTACCAAACTAAGTTTTCGACTAAAAACACCTGTTGTCTGTTTTTAAATTATTTATACAATATTTTTCATCAGAAGAAGACAAGTATTGATAACAGTAACAAAAACACACATTGTTAGATGTTGTATTAAATAATTTACCCCTTGGTCAATATTAATTAAATCAGATAATTACATAGTATTTAACTAGATGGAAAAAATAAAATAGATATTAATACATTATATACAGAAGCTAAAACATATTTGATTTTTTAAATACTTAAAAACATTAAACAAGGAATAATATATTAAACTTAATTATTACATTTATTAATTCTAGAAATTAAAAATTGAAAAGTATTTTTTTAATAATTTAGTTGTTTTAATAATAAAAAAAAAATTTTGATTAACTATTAAGATTGTTAAAATAATTTCATACTTTATTTATATCATTTTATTGGAAATAATAACAATATGAAGTCGTTTAATACCAAAATTATTCATATTATCAATATATTTTAACATATCTACATTAGAAACCTAAGCTAGGATCATGTAGCTACATGATATTGATTAATTTGTAAAGGCAGTATTTAACTACTATTTTCAAATTTAAATACAAACGCTTTTGCAAAGAAATATTTAAAAATTATTTTTCCATTTCATACAAACGAATATCTACCCTACGATGGCGTCGTTATAGTGGGTTGTGAATACCTATTGTGTTATAACATTTCAAGGAGTGTACCTTCCCACAATGTAGTAACAAACAATGCAAAACCCAAGATAATAGAACAAAATAAGAATTCGATAAATAATAGTACACAACCAAAATAAGCCGACAAAAGATTTTTATACTCAAATATAACTATTGTTACACCCTACAAATGTGAATTTTACTTAGCAGCTGCCGAAGAGATTTATTCATGGAGTTTAGGAATGAGATTTTAACAAAAAGTAAGAAATAGTAATAATAATAATAATAATTCTTTATGGAATAATCGATGCACGTAGAAAATTCGTGAAGGATCGATAACAATGGGAATAACACTATTCATAAGATTTACCGAAAATTATAAGACAAATAATATGATGGATATAAAAATTAAAATTAAAAACTTATAATCTTCAAATAATTTATTTCTATAAAAAATTTCTACACAGTTATCAGTTCTCCCTTAGACTTGTTCATAATTAATTTAATAATTATCATAAAAGCGTTCTAATCATTATTTTAGTTCCAAAATAAAACATTGTTTTGGATCAAACCAACAAAAAAAAATAAAATGAGATATACAACTACTGATAAAACTATGAAACACTCACCCCCACTGTTATTCATATTCCATCCAAAATTATTTGGATGAAGAAATGAATAACACTGGATGAAGGTATCACATAATACACCAAAGAAATGCAATTACAGTCACTAAGTGACCCATGCTTTTTCATAAAAAATCACTTACAACGGATCCCAAGGACTATTTTGGTTCATGGGGAGGGAATCAATTTTTCCAAATAAATAATTTTTTTATATTTTTTTAAAAAATTTTAAAACAAAATGATACTTCAGTAAGTATTGATTTTTTGATACCCCTGTTAAGGAGGGGTACACTCTTCGAATTCTTTTCTATAGGATACGTTGATAAAATCCATGTGTTATAGAAGGCTAAATTAGCTATATGGAAGTTTATTAATCGTAAGATATAAATCACCATCTCACTTATTTCCCGGCAACCCCATAAGAAATATATCATATATTAATAATTATAAGTAGAAAACATCTTGATATAAAGTTAAATAAATTGCATTTGTTATTATATGGTTATTATAAAAATATGAGATGTATCATAAATATAGTGTTAACATATATCGTACGATTACACACACTAATGATGTTTTACTAAACACACAATAACAAAATGCATCAAAAACATGAGATTTA